AAAGAGACAGACTGACAGAAGCGTTCATCGAGCAGCAGCTGCATGTCATAAGACTTCCGGCTAAGGGTAATAAACTTTGCAGTCACGCGGGCGCAATCAGACAAAAGTGTAAATTACTTCTCTTCCCGTAGCTCTACAATACTCTGACTAAGAGAGTCGGATCATTCCATCTTTCTCACTCTTCTCGCCATTCCTTGGCTCGCATGGATAAAGCACCAATAGACGAGAGGAATCTCTGAGGAATCTATGTAGACGGGCTTCGGCATCGTCGACGATCTACCCTTCTACGATAATAAACCCCCGCGTCGTCTATTTCCCAGGAGCTATTAGACTAAACTATATATCGGACAAATGCGCCGAGGCACACAATCAATAGGTAGATACGGTCAATAGACTGATTGGATTGATGAAACCGTGCGATACCTTTCCAAATACTCTCTATTCCTCATACTCTCATTGCTTGGCTGTCACTCATGTAATAATAATCGATGAGCCAATTCTTACCTAAACGGCGATTTATTTTATCGTCAAATCGCTCGTCAAACTTATTATAATTATATATAGGATAAACGAGTCCTTTCATTGTGAATGGTATGTACTTGCTATCGGGCTTTGATTAAACACTCGTGAGGTCGTTCTATCACGCTTGAATCGAAAAATTCCGATAAATCACGTTAATAATTTTGTCGTTGCTGTTGCTTTTTGCACAAAGAGAGAAACAACATGTATTAGTTAAGACGAGTATCTATAAATGCTGTTGTTAATCGAGAGCTCGCAGTATGGTTAGTAGAGTATCGGCGTAACATTATTATTTTGCAGTGCTAGGCGATAGGTTTTTAAGAGGTGTGAAGTGTAGCCGTGGACTCTCGATTTATGTGGCCGAGTAATTCAATGGCCAATGAGAAATATAAAAGCAACGGAGGAGCGAGCGGATAATGCGTCGTCGAACGAAATCGAGAATCCAGAGGCTTGACGTGTACGTATGTGTTTGTGATGAGTTTGTCGATAGTTTAGTTACCTCAAAGGGGGGAAAAAATCACAAGAGAGAAGAGAAAGACAGGTGGACTCACCTTTCTTGGGTATGAGGGATTTAAGCAGCAGTACGGCGTTGTCGTCACAGGCCCACCCATGCATTTTTCTATAGCTGTCGCGACCTTTCTCCGTCAACTTGTCCCAGGGCTTCGGTTTACTCAGCAATTCGCTCACTGTGCCCTGACTCAAGCCCAGCACGTACTTGGCGAAGAGTCGCTGACCGATATTATGTATCGAGAGAAGTTCACGTACCCGCCTTGCAATATGCAACGTATCGAGGTTCTGCGAGGCATACTTGTCCATATTGTAGCGCAGCATCTCTTGGAGCCTAGCCTCCATCGGATCACCCTTGGGGATGAGCGATTCTCCGAGTCTTCCGGCCATACCGGCCGCCCCGAATTCGTCGCCAAATCTGAATGGATGCGAGCGTTCGTCGAAGCGAAAAGGACTCTTGAGACTATCCAGGACGCTGAGACTGCCGATGTTGTTATTCGCCAGATGATGGCTGTTGTTGTTGTTGTTATGGCAGCCGGATTCTTCGGCCGGGCTCTTGGGTGGCGGCGCCGTCGAGGAGGTCGTAATAGGTCCATTCATCGAGATCGAATCAACAATGGAGGACGGCGGCTGAAGGATTGGCGGTGAAGTGAGGGTCGTCGTGGAGGAAGGCGTGGGTGGTGCCGGGGTCTCGTGGCCAGAGACGGGCGTAGTTGCTTTCTCCGCGGAATCGAGGGCTGCGGCGCTGCTACCCAGAGGTGTGCTCGATTTAGCGGGTGTACTCGACGAGGAGATCGGATCTGTTGGCGACGGAAGGTGGTTGAGACTACCGGGCGTCGAACTGGCCGAATGTAGACCGATAGTAGAGGTTTGGGACGTCGGCTGTTGAAGCTGCTGTTGTTGCTGTTGTGGTTGCTGCTGCTGCTGCTGTTGCTGTTGGTGCTGCTGTGGTTGAAGCTGCTGTTGCTGCTGCTGCTGTTGTTGTTGTTGTTGTTGTTGCTGATGTTGTTGTTGTTGCTGTTGCTGCTGCTGCTGACTCATGAACGATCTCTCCAGGGATCGCCTCCAGTTAGCGACAATTTCCTCGCCGAGAAACGAGCCAAAAGTCTCGACGTTTTGCAGGGGCGGAGGGAAGAGGAGCGACGATGTCGTCGAAGGGGCGACTGAGGAGGGAGTGGGGGTTGAACGACTGGGAAGCGACGGCTGGGAGGACACGAGGGAAGAGGATAGAGGCGCAATAACTGCACCGTGGGGCGAAGCGGTCGCGGCCCGTTGCAGAGGTGACGATAGTCCACCTGCAATGCCAAACAGAACAAGGCACCCGATCAACACGGACGAACACTAAAACGTCATCGCGTAATTGGCAGTGTTTAAAAATGAAACACCGGCCATTAGTTCATTTAACGGATTTTTTTCTTTTTTTTTTTTTTTTTTTTTTCTGATTTACTTCGAGGAAATAGACCATTCATGGCCCGACACTCTCTTACGATGCATCCATCGACTTCCACATTATATTGTAAAAATGACATTGTACAAGTGAAAAAATTTTTAATTACATTGAGATTATACTAATATATATCTAATAAAATTGAATTAACTCAGAAATATAAAGAAAACATAAAGCATTAAAAATTGTAATAACAAGGAAAAGCTTTGTCTACACACAACAATTAATTTACTAATTGCAATCTACAATGATTCCTTTACAAGTATCACAATGAAGGTAAAAATTTTCATTCCAGAGAGCAAATCATATATACTCGCGAGAGTCAGACTTGAATGGCGAGATACTCGACATTTGGAGATTTGGCTTATTTGGAGTCTGTGTGCGCTATGAAGGGGAGAAGGCTTCGAATTCGACAGGGCCAGACGCATGGCACACGTAGAGCAAAAGAGGAAGAGGATAGGATATGGAGAGAAACGCATATGGTGTTGAGGGGCCGGGGACGAGGGAGGGAGGTAGGGATTTCGGAGGAGGGCGGAAGGGGAGAAAGGAGGCAGAGGAGTTTTCGGTGGTTTGAAAACAGAACAGAGTGACGTTGCAGTATCTCCCTCCGTCTCTCTCTCGCTCTCGGAGTCTTCTCTTCGGATCGATTCATAATAAACTCGGTGCCCGAAACAATAGCCCGGTACCCGTCGCAAATATTGCGAATATCGTCCACAAATTTGCGTGCACAAAGATTTGCCTTGCGACGCGCTTTCCACGTGGACATCGATGTGGTAGTTGAAGGCAATAGCCATCACGATGATATCGGTGGTAGTGGTTGTGCGCCGTTCGGGCTGATGGAAGGTTTCGGGTTTTGTGGATGGGCTTTGAGAGACGAGAGAGAAAACACAGTGTGTATGTGAGAGACAGAAAGAGAGAAGAGAGAGAGAGAGAGAGAGAGAGAGACAGACAGATAGACAGAGAGAGTGAGAGTGAGAGACCGCGATATAGAAATTGTTGAAAAGAATGAGTGAGACAAAAGGTAACTTCAAGAGATAAATAGATACAACAGATAGATGGAGAAAGAGAAAGAAGGGAATAACGGAGATTTTACGTGTGCTTGACTGCGTTATTTCGTATTCGCAAGCATAGGTACACACGAAAATTTTTTGGAGTGAATACTGTACAGCCAGGAAGAGAGGTTCTTATGGAATCGTTAAATAAATGTGGTAAATAGTGTAAAAAAAAAGGGGGAGCGGAGGAAACAAGAAAATGTAAGGCCTAAGCAAATTACTACAGAATAATAGAGAGAGAGAGAGAGATAGAGAGAGAGAGAGACAGTGAAAATGAAAATAAGAAAAATCTTGCGATACAAAGTCAGCTTAGTAGACTAGTGATAGAATAGTGGGTAATAATGAGCGAATGCGATGATGGTATATTGCAAAAAAAGGAATTAATTTGAGAATATACATGATTTAGAGAGAGAGAGAGAGAGAGAGAGAAAATTAAGCAATTAAAGTGGAAATTGAAAAACGAAGGAAGTGTGCGAATACAACCGCAAGCGGGGTTATTCGAATAATTAAAGCTATTTTCTCTTTGTCATTCAATGGTTTTTACAAATAATAATAACGTGATATTAAAAAGTAGAATATTCATTAATAATAATCAGTATCAGGACTCGAATGTCCCGTGATAGCAAGTCTCACAACGACGGAGCCTCGGAGAGAGAGTCAGGACCGAAGATCAGAGCAGCAGCATAGGAATTAGCAAAGCTTTCTCATTCGCTTCCACAATCTTTCTCATCGAAATCGCGTGGATTACAAAGTACCATACATATGCATACACACATGCATACATACATACACATACACATACACGCTTACATACATACGCATACACGCTTACATACATACATACAAATACACGCTTACATACATACACATACGCGCTTACATACATACACATACACGCTTACATGCATACGCATACACGCTTACGTACATACAGCTACACACTTACATACATACGCATACACGCTTACATACATACACATACACGCTTAAATACATACACATACATGCGCGCGCACGCACAAAACACATAAACACGCACACACGCGTATTCGTACACGCAGTCGTACACACATCCGTAAATGCGCACACGTATGCGTACACTCATAAATATACGCATGCATATACACATGAATGTGCATACATGGGCATCTATACGTTCACATGCGTACACACATGCGTACGCATAGATACGCGTTCAATTCTAATAGCTCTGCACTTACTTACTGCCAATCGAAACCATAAACTTAAACAATAAATTGTTAACAAAATGATATATTCTCTAGCAATGTGAAGTGACCCGAGACTGGGTCGAATTTAGATATAATCTACCGTTCGCTAGTCAGCTCGCCACTAAATACGAATACGATCGCATTCGAGCTCTATTTCACTAGCGATCTACGTAACGTCGAAGACAAAGCAAAGAATAAAAATAAAGCGGCAGCGTAGGATTGACTTACCGAGAGCGTCGGGTGTGGTTGGCGGCTTTAAGGTCTCGGCTTGCTGCAGGGCTTTCGAGCGCTCCATAAGCACCTGCTCGAGACTTTTGCCGGGCTCGCCGGTAGGTATTTGCGATAGATCAACGGACCGAAGGACACTGATCTCACGCTTCAGATCCTCGTAGTCCTTTTGCTTGTCGAGCTTGATCTCGAGTCGACTGATGTGTTGTCTGCGCGCCTCTAATTCCTCCTCGAGGCGAGCGGTCGCCTGAGCGCTCGTCTCCTGGAGGCGCTGCAGGCTGATCTGCAGCCTCGACACTTCATCCCTCAACTGACCGATCTGTGAACGAAGAAAGGAAACGTTAGCTGGCATTGATCATTGATAATGAGAATGTGTGGAATTATGGATGATTGCGGATGATACATTGTATCGGCAATTATCGGTAATTGAATTTCGATGGAATAGCTCTTATTCATTTGCCGATAATAGAGTTATCGCCAGACACTCTTTTTCCTCCTAATATTTTTCTCGTCTTTTTTGTTTGCTTTTTTTTTTTTGTTTTTATTTTTGCCCAAATATGCATAATCTGTGCGGGGCTTGGACGAGGGCCCCAAAACTAACGACGTATCACATTCATAATCGATTGAAAAATGTAATGGTACACATTTATTTTAATACTGAGTATATTAAACGGATATCGAGTCGATCACTGCTGTATCGTCAAAGAACCATTTATTAAAGTATCGTATGCCCTCGTACAAATTTAGCGGCGATATTAATGTTTAATTGGCGATAGTAATAATCTAGTTGAAGAATCGATATCTCGCGGTAATAATGATTTTTTTTTTTCTATCTCTTGGTATTTATTAGCGATCGAATGGTCACATCGGTATAATCGGTGATATTTTTCAGATAGCGTGCACCTCGGGGAAAGAACTAGGTCTCATCCCAAAACTCCCAACAAGTTATTGGATTATTTATAATCGTAGCGAACTTACGTTTGGCCAGCTACACGATTATTATCGAGGCATTACTCATAAAACGCCATTGCGCATTCGCACAAAATCACGCGAAGAGATCCAAGCTCGGACTCGATACCTCTAACGAATAACCATATTAATGATAACGCGCGAAAAGCAGTAGCAGCGGCCGCGGCGGCCCCTTTGATGACGATTCGCAAGTTGTCGATAACGCCTATCGTCTTCGTCACGAGCAATTATCGTGCCTTTTCTCTTCACTCTCCCTTACTTTATTGCGGCGACGCATCGGCGCTGAGTATTGCGCGCGCCGTGCGACAATCACGGAGGGAGGCAAAGACGAACGAGGAATACATGATCAATTGAAATCGACCACTCTAGACCCATCCACGTGTACTTCGCAGACCACCCCCGCCCTCTTCTCTCTGCTCTCATTTTCCACGTGCGACGCGCTGTTTTCCGGTATCTATATGCCGGCGCTCCTCGTATATTCGAACGCACATGTCCGCCGAGTTGCCGTGAGTGTGCGAACGAGCGAAATAAAAAGCCTCGCGGCACCAGTTCGATCTAATCGGCCGTGCCTCGGGCTCCATATCCATTATCCATTGCGCCAGGAATGTCGCTCGGTAATTACGGGAATTATTGGCACCCACCTACACGATGGCGAATAGAGGGAGGTTAATCGGGAAAGCGAGCTCCCTCTTCTATCTCTCTTTTCTCATTACTCAAATTGAGTATCCGTCCGCGTTAATGCTTTTCGAATAGGGCGAAACGAAATCGATGCGAATCAATGCTGGCAGTTACGTAGGCGTAGCCCCCCCCCCCCATCCGGTTCGTTCAACGATGACACGCGTCGCCTCGTAATTGAGCATCCTCGACACGGACTTTTTGCTCTACTTATCGCTCGTCGTTACTTTAATCCCGGTTATTTCTTCTCGCGAGGCACGGGATTTGTTCAAAGCTTCGATCAAAGCGTCCGGCGCGCACTCCATTGTGACGATGGTTGCGCGGGGGAGGGTCGACGGCATTCGATATTCCAACCCGACTCCGGCTACGGCTTGACTTTCCAAAGTTGCAGCGATCGCTCGTAATCGCCTTCGCCATTAGTGTCGCTAAGTGCGAGCAAGGAGGATCGAGTATCGTTAAGGGATCCGAGGAGCCGGGAGGAGCAGAGGACAGGTGGCATTAAAGCCCTCGCGTTCGACGACCCTCGATAGCGCCGCGAGCGTCGATCATTCGCAATTCGCCCATAATCGTGGACTTTCTCGTACTCCTTTCAAGCTTATCTTTTCAATTGTCAATTTCGGCGGATTAATTAATGTCTGCTCTCTCTCTCTCTCTCTCTCTGCAAGTGTCTATACAGAATATATGGTGCGCGGTCAATATTTTATAAGGTATATTTCAATTATAATAAATAATATGTAGTAATGATGGATGAATTCTATTCGAATTATGACTTCGTCATTGTGTTCGACAAAGTTATTCCAGAATTCCAATATTCGATATTATGGAAAAATTTGATCATTAATTCAGCTTTATTTATTCAAACTCGCAGAATTTTATTTACTTATGTCTTAGTATTATAATTTTGACATAGATCTATTAATGAAAAAAAAGAGAAATTGAAGACACTAATTATATATATTAATATATATAGACACACATATACACAAGCATGTTGAAGGAAAATTTGTGTCAGTGGAGCACATATGAATTATCGTTCGATTAATTAATCGAATCCATATACTGGTATATGCGTATTTCGACGAAATTCATAATCAAATATTGCATTGGAGACTTGCACTCACAGAACCGTAACTGCAACTATTAAATTTAATACTCGTATATGTATAAAAGCTGCCAGTTCACATTTAATTGTTATAGTTGACCGAATCATATCGTTTCACTGGTCGCGCAGTAGATGTTCAGCAATCTCCTGATACACACGTGTCTCTTATACGAGATATCTTCGTCAAAATGAAAGCCACGCGTAAAACTGTTTTATATATTCATGTATTTATTCATTTGAATGTGATAAAATTTTAAATTCCTACAAATTTAAAACAAAAATCTTTTTGTTTAATTTCTTCATTGGTAAAAGCATCTTAGCTCTTGAGAACTCAACAAAGGATTAAAGAATGAAGGCAATGCAATAGCCTACAATAAGCAAAAAAGCGTTGAAAGACTTAGAAAAAGAAATAAAGAAAGAGAGAAAGAGAGAGCATATGGACCGTAGGTGGATAATTTTTTACTATAATGATCTTAATTCGATTACGAGCGTAGGTGACTTAAAGTATATGAAAGACTGAGAGAGAGAGAGAGAGAGAGAGAGAGAGAGAGAGAGAGAAAGAGCGAACGAGTGGAATAAAGGTATGCAGTTCATACTCTCGCCACTATGAATGGATCGTAATTGTACGAGGGTGAAAAGCTCAGACAATCGATTCCAATAAACAAAGAAACCGCAAAGGCGAGCCAAAGTAAGTATGCAAGGTGACCAAAAACCGGAAGTTTCGATTGATCGTCGCGCGCCATGCTAAACGATAAAGTTTTAGTCCATTTATTGTCCCCGGACCCACAAATGTATAATATAACGAGAGATCGCGAGACGCCAAAGGGAGTGAAAAGACCCTAATCCTTAGCTGATTTTTGCTATTTGCATTGCCGACCAGGGCCTTCGGGGCCTTTGTTTGCCTCAGCTATTGATCAAATTTTCTCCCGCGGCATAATCAATCTTCACGCATATATGACCAAGCGCGCATATGTAAAACCATCTCCCTCTCCCTTACTCCCTCTCCCTCTTTCTCTGTCTTCCTCCACCCGTTCGTATCGGCTACGCACGTTGGGATCTCACCCCTAGCGGCTTTGCGCACTTATATGTACGCAGACTAGGGAACGATGACCGTAGCTTCGACGTTAATTTTGCGACGCTTATCATTTGCGATTCTCCATTCTTCGCAATCTAAGTGGCATGACTTTTTGATTTAGCCCACGCATTTTTCAACAATGATTACATTTTTCTGTAAACTTAGGTCTCATAGGCTATTTACACGTGTTGCACGTGTCGAGCAAACGAATAAAATAATATTTTTATGCTTGAATAGAGGCATAATCTCTCCATGTGACAATTGCAAAATATTTCACGATAATTACGAATGGTAATTTAAAAGTAAAAATTTAGGTGCCTTGCAATTGAAACTTGTTTATCGTACAGTAGAATTGCATTAGTCGTGAAAAAATAAAACAAACGTAACCATCAACGTTTATTTATATATGTATTTTTACGGTTCAGTTATTAGTATAAGTAAAAGTTATTCTGCATTTATGAAATTATTATTCTCAAGGAAACGCGGTGACGGGTGTCAATCTTAATTTTTCCTTTTCATGCTTTCTCGTAAGTGTAAACTGTAGCTTCATATAGTTGCGCAAGCTCCCAAGTTCGATGCTCTCGTCAAAGTCTCGACATTTATTGGCAGCCAGCGTGTAAACTTGCGAAATTCCAAGCTTGAACCCAAAGAAACCACGCAAAGTCTGTAGAAGAGTGACATCTTGAGTAAAAGAGGACCAAGAATTTAGGATATATTTAAAATACGTCTCTTTACGTCTGTCTGTCTGTCTGTCTGTCTCTGTCTCTCTGTCTCTCTCTCTCTGTCTCTCTCTCTCTCTCTCTCTCTCACCCTATTACTCTATATCAGGATATAGTTAATTTGTTCTATGATAAGAGGAATACATTTTTTGTACACGATTTGCAACGTGTGAATTCACACTAATGTTATGTAAAAAAAATATATATATATATATAAATGAATGAAAAATTAGAAATATTTGAAGAAAAAGAAAATCGCGAGACACATGAGACTAACTATGGAAAGCATCAACCCTTTTGGTCCTCAAACATCAGCACGCCTGTACTCTTCCTCTTCTCTCCTCTCCGAGTTCATTCG